ATATATATATATACTTTTAGGGAATAAAAGAGGATGGGACAGAGTGAAGAGTAAACTCTAAACTCTAAAAAAAATAACGGTTTGTCCAAAACCACTTTTAAAAAATATTTTTCATGAATTCTCACCTGCACTGACTGGTTCCAAAGTGACGGGTTCTGAAGTTGCGTCTCCGAGGTCGTTCTCAGCCTTCACATATATCGACATATCAGAGAACAGTAGAAAGTCAGAGCGAGGGATGATGTAATGATGGACTCCTGGTGGGAGTTTATACGTATAGCTCATGTTTGCGCCCCTGAAATGATAAAATATACGAACAACACAGTTATGATGCCGCACTATTTTGCACCAAAAGCATAAAATATTTTTCCACCTCTCCCTGATTAATTTCATTTGCAATTTTTTTGTGATTTCATATTCACCATATCTCGGTGTGGAGGGTGTAGTTGGTGCGGAGGTGGGTCTCCTGCAGTCCTGGGTCCCATCGACACGTCAGTGTGTTTGGGCTGGTCAGGTTTGTCTGACAGCTGAGGTTCTGTGGTGCTTCTGGTGGATCTAATGATCAAATCAAGACATGAAGACGTTTTACTGAAAAACAAACATAACCAGCTGATTATTTCTGTTGAAGAAAAACAGTCAAATTTATAGAAAGCTCTGCCGTGAAAGGCAGGGGATCATGTAACTGCCCTTCTATTTGTGCGCATGTGCGCATGTCTAGTCCTTTTGTCTTTCTGTTAGCAAAATATTACATAAACCAGATGATAAATTTCTCCAAAGAGGCTGGACACATGTAAAGCAGCCAGACCTGATAAAATCCAGCCCTTTTAAAAAATAAAAATAAAACTGGCTGCTGATTTTATTGCTGAACTTCTTTTGCACATTTTTGATTTGAATCTTAAAAGCAATAAGATACCTAAAGTCTGGAAATTGGCTTATGTTCTCCCTCTGTTAAATGAGGATGACCCAAGAAATGTACCGGTAAATTTTTACAGACATGTTTCTAAATGATGTATTTGAGCAAAATTGTTGAAAGTCTTGTCTGTAATCAATTAAATGCATTTTTAGAGCTGAATAACATTTTATTACCATTTCAATCAGGTTTTATAAAACATCATATCACTGTTACAACAGCTGTTAAAGCTTTAAATGATTTTATAAATCAAAATGGATGTATACGTTTATAAATATAATTTGTTTTATATAGGCTATGAATTAAAAAAAAGATTCTGTTGCATTTTTTATTGACTTGTCCAAAGCATTTGGTATAATATTAAGCATCCTTGAACGCACCGGTTTATCAAAACTTGCAGTTGCTTGGTTTGCAAATGATTTGATCAACAGAACAAAATGTGTTCAGGCGGCTGGATCCACCTCTTCCTTCTTGGATGTTGTCAAGGGGGTGCCACAAGGTTCTGTTTTTGGTCCAATTTTATTTTCACTTTAAATTTATGATCTGTGTAACAATTTGTCAAATGCTTGCTGTCATTTTTATGCAGACAGCACCATTATTTATTGCTGCTCTTCCTCACTTATTCAGGATTTTAGGTTTTTATAGGACACCTTGCAATGGTGGAGAAAGTACTCAAACACTGTACTTAAGTAAAATTACAAATAAACAGACAAAAATGTTCTCGAGTATAAGTAAATGTACCACATTAACATTTTTACTTAAGAAAAAGTTGAAGTACTTGCTGAATGTATTACCTAATGCAATGGTCTACAATATCATTAAGTGTGCCTACTGTATGTGTATTTTCTGTAATACATTAATAGTGTTGGGTCATTTTAATGAACAATGCTGCAGATAATACATGTTTTTATTGTGTTTACTCTGTGACACAGTTCACACTTGGACTTGTGATTCTATGCATCATAATTTCAGGGATGACCTGCAGAGTTAAATGTCATTAGGCAAAATAACAAAGAGGAATGATTATACCTTTGAAAGTTTTTATTTAACACAAATCAAAACCAATGTGTCATTTTAACTGCAGTAAAAACATTTAAGTAAAAGTTGTCTGATGAAAAAAGGGGCATTATACATAACAAAGGAATAGACTTTGATCATTTCAACTCTAGTTAAAATACTGTCCAGTCAACCTTCAATATTGGGTCAATATTTAACAATTTTTTAACTTCCTGACACCATTTTCAAAACTTGGACCTGAGTGTCGAGACATTTGGAGACATTTCTTGTCTCGTGTCCTAACATCCCATGAAATGACACATTTTAATATCGCAGCAAGAATTTCTTGATCAAGTTGAGAAGAAGTTGGTTTTCAAAGTTTTTTGAGTCCAATCTGGCTCTTTAGGGAGATAAAATCTGTCTTGCTGTACTGAATAGTCTTTCAATAAGGCCATGGGTGGTGTGTATCTTGTGGCTGACTCTCCGTGGTAGAATTCATTTTGGGTGTGTTAGCGGTGCTGTGGGTGCGCCCAGCTCAATGACGTATAGAATATACGTCACTGGCCCAGCTCTTCTGGAAGGCGGGTCTAACGTTACCTGCCCACTTTCTAGTGATTCAATGGATCAGCTCCCCTCTCACCATTTGTTACTTTCGAACTAACGAACAAATCAAAAAACTGCAACGTGATTGTAACTTGTAACGCAATACATTATAGAAATGTAGAGTAGTGGAAAGTACAGATACTTAATGTAAAATGTAGTGGAGTAAAAGTCAAAAGTACCCGCATTTAACTTTACTTAAGTAAAGTACAGATACTTAATGTAAAATGTAGTGGAGTAAAAGTCAAAAGTACCCGCATTTAACTTTACTTGAGTAAAGTGCAGATTCATGAAAAATATATTTAAGTACAGTAACAAAGTGCTTGTACTTAGTTACATCCCACCAAAGACACCTTGAATGTTTTTCATTTTCCTTTCCTAAAACTTAAACTGGTTTTTAATGCGGACAAAACCAAGCTCATGGTATTTTCTAACAAGAGAGCTACCAGGGTGCATCCCACCAACTGTAACCTCAAAGGGAAAATATATAGAACTGGTTTCAAATTACAAATACGTTTTACTTGATTGTGAGCAATCATTTAAAACTCATATTGCTAATCTGGCCACTAAATTTAAGTTGAAGCTTGGTTTTTATTTTTAGAAATAAATCTTGTTTTTCACTTAAAGTAAAGAAAACTTTAGTAGCTGCTGCTTTCATGCCCTCACTGGACTATGGTCATGTGCTGTACATGAGTGCCCCATCCAAATTTCTGCAGTCTGTAGACACTGGTTACCACACTGATCTGAGGTACATCCCTTGTTACAGTGAGCTGTACTCCAAATCTGGCTGGTCTCTTTCTACATGCAAATACACACTGGATGACTCTAATCTATACCCTTCTGAACTATGATGCATCATATTTAGGCACCTTTCTTCAAAGAACTAACAACCCCTACACATTACGTTCTAACAATGTTGTTCTTCAGTTGGTTCCTTGTGTCAGAACTGAATTAGGGAAACGAACGTTCAGCTTTGCTGCCTCCTCAGTGTGGAACACCCAGACTGATCTGAAATTCCCAGGACTCTTTTGAAGCCTTCTGCTGAATCCTAAGACAGTGTTAGTAAGAACTTTGAACGATAACTGTCTTTTTAACTGTTACCTGTTTACCCATTCTCTGTATTTTTAACCATTGTCATGTTTTTCCTCTTTGTGTTTTTAATTATCATTTGCATTTTCTTAACTATTTTGTTTTAGTTGCTTCTAAGATCATTATTATGTGTTGCCTTGCACTTTTGAAATCAAAACCATTTAAGTGGGTATAATACAGTTTTGTCCTATATCATTAATTATTTTGATTATTTTTTTATGACGTGCTGCTGACCTTTTGGCCAGGTTACTTTTGGAAAAGAGATCTTGATCTCACTGGGTTTTGATCTGTTAATAACGATTATGATAATAATATAATAATATAATAATAATAATAATCATTTTATTTAAAAAGCGCCTTTCAGGACACCCAAGGACACTTTACAGCAAGAAAATACATAAAGAATATAAAATACATACAGAATATAAAATACATACAGAATATAAAATACATAAAGAATATAAAATACATACAGCAAAGTTAAGGATAAGCGAGTCTATAGAGATGTGTTTTCAGAGCAGTCTTAAACAGAGAAAGAGAGGTGGTGTATCTTAAGTCAGTGGGTAGAGAGTTCCAGAGATGAGGGGCAGAGCAGGTGAAGGCCCTGCTCCCCATGGTGGAGAGGCGGGCAGAGGGTACATGGAGGTGTAGTGAAGAGGAGGATCTGAGAGAGCGAGAGGGGATGGAGATGTGTAGGAGGTCAGATAGGTACGGAGGGACAAGGTTGTGGATAGCTTTGAAAGTGAGAAGAAGAATTTTGAAGACGATGCGTGATTTAACCGGGAGCCAGTGGAGCTGTTGCAGGACTGGAGTGATGTGGTTATAGGAGGAGGTTTGAGTGATGACACGGGCAGCTGAGTTCTGGACCAATTGTAGCTTCTGGAGAGATTTGTTGGGGAGGCCATAAAGAAGGGAGTTGCAGTAGTCAATCCGGGAAGTCACAAGACTGTGCACAAGGATGGCTGTGGAGCGGGGTGTGAGAGAAGGGCGGAGACGGTTAATATTTCGGAGATGGAAATAGGCAGACCGAGTAACATTGTTGATATGTGAAGTGAAGGAGAGAGTGGTGTCGAGGATGACACCAAGACTCTTGACCTGAGGTGAGGGGGATAGCAGAGAGTTGTTAAGGGGGATGAGAAGATGTTCTGATTTTGAAATAGAGTTTTTGATACCAACAAGAATGCTTTCTGTTTTGTCACTGTTTAGTTGTAGGAAATCGTTAGAAAACCAGTGATTTAGCTCATTGAGATAGTCGGTGAGGATGGAGGGTGGGTGGAGTTTGGTTTTGTTGACAAATAGAGCTGTGTGTCATCAGCATAACAGTGAAAATGGACACCAAATTTACGGAAGATGTGACTTAGAGGAAGGAGGTAAATGATGAAGAGGAGGCGTCCGAGGACAGAGCCTTGGGGGACACCCGTGGAGACGGGGGAAGACTGGGAACGAAAGGATTTAAGCTGAATGAATTGAGTGCGGTCAGAGAGATATGATTTGAACCAGTCTAACGGAGTACCTGAGATGCCAATGGAGGTTAGTCTGTTGAGGAGGATAGAATGACAGATTGTGTCGAAGGCAGAACTTAGATCCAGTAAAATGAGGATAGACAGAAGAGCAGAGTCAGCAGCAAGAAGAAGGTCATTAGTTATTTTTATTAGAGCTGTTTCAGTGCTATGGTGGGGGCAAAAACCAGATTGAAACTCTTCATAAATGTTATTGTTGGATAGGTGAGAGTGAAGTTGACTAGCAACGGCTTTTTCAAGAACTTTGGAAATAAAGGGCAGATTAGAGATCAAACGAAGATTACTGAAGTTGGTAAAGTCAAGACCTGGTTTCTTGATGATGGGGGTGATGGCCGCAGATTTGAAAGCTGTGGGAACAATGCCAGAGGTTAGGGAGGAGTGGATGATGTTAGTGATGATGGGGAGCAGAGACGGGAGACAGGATTTAACAAGAACTGTGGGAAATGGATCGAGCTGACAGGATGAGGACTTAGACTTGCTGATAATGTCAGCAATGTCATCAGCAGAGGGGAGGGAGAAGACAGAGAAGGGGAGGGAGGGGGGAGTTCAACATAGATGCTGGGGGCGGTATTAGGTCCAAGGTGTTTATGAATTGAAAGAATCTTTTCATTGAAATAAGTAGTAATTAAATGAAGATATATAACTGATTAACTCTTGGAGTCCATTTGACTGAATGTGAACATCAAAGCTAAGCAACCCACATAAAAGGCTAGAACTCACTCAGTTTTACATATATCGAGCTAAAATCATTGACATTAAATGCTGGTTTTCGTTATGTAAAATGTGTAAAAGAACTAAAGATGTTTCTCACATCCTGCTTGGATCTCCTTTCCGGCTACAATCTGAGAGGTGGCCTTGATGCCGCAGGTGAGGACCGCCTTGGTGTGATTGAAGCTGGATAAAACAACTCTGGAAACCCAGTCGCTCTCATTCGCCACAGGGCTGCCGGGAACAGAGCGAGATCCAAGACGCCACTCAATTTGAACAGCCTGTCCAACGACCAGAGGGCAGTTCTTTCTGATGACACAGGTGGCAGAGACAGGTGAGCCCAGATGCACCACTGTGCTCCAAATGCGGATCGTTGCACACGGTTCTGTGTCATTATCTAAAAAAAACAAAAGTGTGTTGAGAAGTATTAAATTTCCTAAAATGATCGATTGGTCTTTTTTGAAGTGATGTTCCATCAGATAGTTATTAATATCAGCCGTGACATGAGTCATAGGGACCAGAGGATGGAGGAAATGCATTCATCATCCAGGCTAGGTTAATGGCTATCGCAACAAAAGCCATTTTGTATTGTTTTTTAAGACTTATGAAACAATCCATTCTCAACAATGACAAACGCTAGGTATGATGACAAGAGATAAAAAAGAATGCTACACTGGCTAACGATAGACTTCTACACTTCTTCAGGATGCTGTTTGTTTAACTTGTGGCTGTTTTCTCAGCCGAACGATGTCGGCTGTGTTGCTACGCTCCGATGGAGAATTTGCTACATGTTCAGTGTGTAATTTGTGCTGAGCGTAGCATCATTGGTGCTGAGGATCAACCGGGAGTTGAGTAAACATTTGGGCAGGCAGACTGATACACAAACACGGTCTACCTGTGCTCAGCACGCACGCATTTGGGCAGCAACATGGATGTTGTTCAGTTGAGAAAACAATGACAGCCTGAACAAGTGCACAAGTTTAATATTAGCTAATGTAGAGTTTGTTCACACCTGCACATCATTTTGAGAACAATTTGTTTTATGAGTCTGAGAAATGATAAAAACAATTGGCCAAGCATTCATTTAGCCAGGGTAAAGTTTTCAGCCCTTTTCTCCACACTCCGTTCTTTATGACTGATAACTCGCCGTTCAAGGCACTAGCATCAGATACTTGACACTTTAAAATGACCAGACTATTTCTTTACTGTCTATTATTGTACAGACACCGGCTCTTTTGATTTTGGAATACATCTATAAGTAAAAAAAAATAAAAATAAAAAATACAGAAACATGACTACAATTGTCTTTTTCTCTGGTGTTTAGGATAAGATTTCTCAAGCAGAATTTACCGCTCCTTCCTCCGTTCACAGACGCCACCAGTATGGCCATCACTGGTATCCACGTGGATATCATGATTAAACCTGCTGGGCAGACAAATTAAAGAGCATTACTCCTTGATTACAAACTAGAGAGTTTAAAAATCGGAATGACAAGTTAACATTTTTTGACACCTTGTGTTTATGACAGCAAAGAGGAAGAAACACTTAAAACTCTGCTAACGTGTCAATGAAATACACTTTTTTTAAAGGAAAAATAGGCATGTTAGGTAACATGATACATTTTTCTTTTACATGGTTAAGTAGATATAATAAGATTCACTGAGAGGTTTGGCAGCTTTAACAAAGGAAGTAGAAGATGGGAGTTGGTGGATTAAAAAAATGGAAATAATCATCAAACTTATGATGTTAAATATGGTAAGTCTTTCTTAAATTCGAGAATAATTTTGTACTCTACACTACAGAGTGAGGTGTCACAAAGTGACACGTTAGCATTTTTGACAGAATTCTGAGTGTTCACATTCACCTGACACCGGTGAATAAATTTTGATGACAGTGTTTTTGAAATACTTACCACATAGACATTTAAAATTCAAGAAAAATCTCTTTTTCTGCTCACAAAGCATCAACAGTAAAACATGGACATGTGTTGTGCGCCTGTGGGTTTGCACACCAAGCACCTGCATTGATTATTTTAATATGTTTTCAACAGAAATCAACAGAAAATCAATGAAAAAAAAAACTATTTAGATGCACTTCATACTAGTTATTTACACCAGGGGTTCCCAAACTTTTCCATGCTATGGCCCCCCAAGCAGCATTAGCTTCTGGCTGAGGCCCCCTTTGCAAAGCCACAAACAATGCTACAGAATATGTAAAAAAATCAACTTTTAGAATATTTTAACTTTTCTTCACTATATTCAATTAATTATTACAGGTGCTGAGCATAAAAATGTTATTAACTAACATGTTTTAAACATTGCATTATATTTCCACTGGAAAAAAAACAACTTTTCATCAAACTGTTGACCAGAAGAACAAAACAAAAGAAATCTAACCTCAAGCGAGTTTATCTGGAAAAGACAGATACAGATTGCCCTAGTGTACATTTATTATTATTATTATTACTACTTTTTTATTTTTGCTTTTATTATTTAAAAAAAAAATCTTATTCTCTCCAGCTTTCTGAAGCCGCCCTAGTGCCCCCTGGCGGCCCCCCTGGGGGCCACAACCCCCACATTGAAAAACAGAAAGGCATTACAAAAAATTGCTTGGTGACTCAGAATGCAGAATTGTCCGTCAGCAAACATTAAAATTTTGTGGATATTTGACATTTTGCTGTAAATCCAGATTATAACCACCGTGGTCAGACACATGTAGGCATGAGCAAACCAATTCAACAAATTCCTTTGATTTTTAATACTGTATATTGCAACGTAAATAAATAAATAAACAAAATCAGCTTTAAACTAAACAAAATCAGGTTGCTAATTACTGTTTTTATTACCCATTATCTAACCAGGCAAATCCCACTGAGATCAGATGTCTGTTTTGCTGGTTACTAAGAGCCCGATGGGTTTCAAACCTCCTGCATGTTGTGTGACTGTTCACTGGATTTTTCCATGAGAGACAGATTTCATGCAGACGTGCAGACAAACACAAGTCCCAACCACAAACACCACAACATTGAGTAACTTCTTGTAGTCCTGAGACACTCTGTCCTCGCATGATTCTCGTAAAGAGCTGGTCATCTAAAACCTAACATTATGCATATGTTGATCAAATGTATATTATTATCAAAGTTCTTGAAACTTTAAAGATAATTTACACATAATGGGAATTCTTCCTCCTAAGGATTTGCTGTCTAAAACCACACTCTGCTGTTGGAGCAGAAGAGTTTACATCTGGACCATCAATTTGCACCAACTCCATAAGTTGAGGAAGTATTACTTGTGATTTGTAAATTTTATAGCCATCACTCAGACTTTAAAATCTCCTCTTCTTGTCCTAAACAACTGAGTATTTGGTGTTTGTTATGCAGTGTGACAGAAATGAAATGTCTTCCATTTTTCTTATCAGCAGTGTGCAAAAAGGCCCCCGTTTTCTCTCGCTTTCCTTTTAAGAATCCCTGCTCACTGCTAATGGATAATTGCTTGTGGCCGCAACAAAAGGCAGCTGAGAAAATGAGAGAAGGCGCAAAAAGAGATGGAGAAAGTATTCAACAAGGGAGTGTGTCCTGTCAAACAAATAAAGAGCATACATTTAGTCTGCTTATTTTTATCCATTGGAAAAAATGTTTCCAATATATATTGCATATACAATATTTACACACACAAACATTGTATGTGTGTATATATAAATATATATATATATATATATATATACACATACATACACACATGTGTGACTATCTTCTGGGTTTTGTTGTTTGTCTCAGTGCATGTCGCAATGTTTTAAAAAAATGTTTCACTCTAGCTTCTGTTCATTTCCTTTCCTGTTGCTTTCGGGGGTTACAAAACACCCACTTTCAGGATTAGGTAATATCCTTCTCTCTGAGTGCAATCACAAACACTCACGTAGTTCCCTTTTTTGAGACTTTTTTTTTTTTCACACAATGCAGTGTTTTAAATAACACTAAGTTTTTCCAATATCTGAACTCTTATCAGACACACTGCAGTTTTTCCAAATTCAAACAAAAAAAAACTTTTGGTGTCAGCACATCCAAAACTCCCAATTTCTAAGAAACAAGAAGACAATTTGTTTCACATCCTCTTTTTAGATGATTAAAGAACACAAATATGTGTTTAGCAAACCCCAACATGCTGCACTTCTCGACCAGAGACACTCTGACCCAAAGAATGTCAAAACAATGACCAAACTGTCAAAAGAAGTGCTCAATTTACATTTTGAAGCAACTAAATTTCTGCATATTTTCTATCTTGGACTATTAATAATTTCTGTTTTGAAGGATTGTCAGCATTTTTTTTAATACATAAGCCACCAAGTGAACTACAAAGTCAACAAAATGTCATGGTTTCACCTCAGAGTGTCCAAAAATTGGAGTCATTTTTAATTAAATTAGGTGAATCCTCCATTCAGCTGTCCAACCTGTGTGTAATAAAAATTGCGTCTTTGAGAAGTTTTCACTTTCAATCTGGCACAAGTATCATAATGAAAGCAGGAGCAAATTGCTTGATGTGAAGATAAAGGAGTGCCATCAGAGAGGTTCGCCACTCACCACACAACAGCTGCAGCCGAGCGAGGAAGACGAGAGGCTCTCATCAGCCCTGATGGTAGCAGATGAAACGCTGTGGCTCAAAGCAGCTCAGATTGGAAGATGGAAACGTGTGCGTGTGTGTTAGCCAAGTAACAACAGCACCACCAACATCCTTGCTTTGAATTTGATTTTTGAAACTTCACTCCTTTTCAGGAAGAAACGCACGACTGGTGGGGGGCCCTGTTACAGGAAGGAGAAACGGGGTGGATAGATTACCAGCAATATTTCTTAAGACAGAAAAAAAGTGTTGTCTTATTTGAGTTAATGTTTCACACCTGGAAGGATTTTTATTGATATTTTTTGTAGGTAAGATTTGCATTTTTGAATTTTACATTGCCATAGTTAATAAAATGATAAGAATTACACTTTAAAGTGACACATCAGATATTTTGAAGTGAATATCTGTGGAAATAAGATGGACAAGTCCTATCTTACCTGTTGCAGATTGCAGATCAAAATTAAACTCCATTTCTCCCGATTGCAGTTATTCATAGACCTAATGTATGTACATATGATTTAGATAGATTTTTTTTTACAGATAAAATGTACAAATTGACAATAAATGGTAAAAGGACGGTACTTATATAGGCCTTTCTATCTAATCAAGATACTCGAAGCACTTTACAACACAGTCTGTGCCCATATTTACCTCCATACACACATTCATACTACATACGCTATATCTCTACAGAGCTAATCAAACAAATCATTCTATAGATACTGATCAGTGCTTTAGTTCACATTCACTGATGGGACACACATCAGAGGCAATGAGGGATTCAGTCTTGCCCAGGGACATTTCAACATGTAACTGCTGGTGGAATCGAACCCCCAACTCTTCCACTGGATGGCGACTGCTCTAACCACTCAGCCACAGCTGCCTCAAAACAAAACAAAATACAACAAAAGAGATAAAAAAAAAATGTAATGATGGTAAAACCCAAAAGAAAACCTCATCTTCAGCTTGACTGAATAAAAATGTCTGCAGCTTCTTTTCAAAAGACTCAACACTGTCAGTGCATCGTAAAAACAAAACTTCATTCCAAAGATGAGATCCAACTGCTTGGAAACATGGTTATAAATCAGGTCTGACAAAATACCAACAGTTTCTGGTTTGAAGACCCAAGAAACTGAGTTGAAGTGTAAGGCATTAACAAATCTCATGTAAAAAAGCCCTAAAATTAAACACTAGTATTTAAAAACAAAATCTAAAAATGAGTAATTAGTGAAGAAATTTTACCATTTGAACGTTTTTGGTTAGCTATCTGATATTTTGAGGCAAAAAAAATGGCTGTCTGACTTCTTAAAAAAAACAATCTTAACATTATATAGTTCACATCTCTGTCATTTGCATTATTTTTGAACATAGATATCTATAGCTACAGTATTTGCAAGCTGCAGCAGCAGCTAGCTGTAGCACTGCTGCTGCAGCTTTGATCACTTTCAGCAGAATATTGCAACAGTTTTGCTAAAAACCAAACATGCATTGTGAAACTGATTGCAGTGCAAAAGTTTTAAAAAAGTTTGTTTGCATGCAGTTTTAGGAAGGGGGCAACTCACTCTGGAGAGATAAAACAAAACTCTCCGAAACGAGGTCATGCAAAGAGGCACCTAACGCAAGTAAGATATTAACTGTTCATATAATTTCCACAGAGCACCAAGCCTTTAAACGACGTGTTCCTTTAGCACCGAGTGTGGGCCTTTCTGCCTGACTGGTGGAGGTTTTACGCCCTCACTCAGTGGTTTCTCCATATGAAGTTAATATGGCAGCTGTCAAACGTCCTACAAAGAGCATCCAGGGAGACGTCTTTTAACAAGAATGTGATCATTCTGTCACAGGCTGACCCTTCGGTGTTAAGAGCGACCTTTACAGCTGCGGATCTGCTTTATCACCAAGGCTGCAGTCGCCTCCCTCTCTGAGCCCATCCGCACCTTCGTCAGCACGATTAGAGAACAAGCTTTTAAACTGCATTGTAAGCTGTGTCTCAACTCTCCCAAGGGCACTTGAAACTGGTTGCCATATCCCATTTATTAGCTTAATAAATTGTGAAATGATTCTGTTGATGAGGGCTCATTTCAAACGGTGAGCAAAGGCACGGTGGTAAGCACAAGCGCTAAACTTTTAATCTTAACAGCTGCATCTCTGCTCGGTGACTAAGCTGCCCTCCAAATCATCGTGGAGGCCGACGCTTTAATCAAGAGGCCGCTGGAGGAGGAACTGAACGCACCACGCAGCCGGTTTCTGAACGAGAATCAACGGGAGGAGAAAAGTAGGCGCTAATTAAAAACACATTAACTGGTTATCATGAGTTGACACATTTTGCTTGATCTTACTTCCTAATCAGCAGT